GGCGGCAGATGCGGCCCGTCCAGCGGGATGGAGGGTCAACGGCCACCTCCTAATGGAGTCGCGCGTCGAGGGCGACGACTCCGAGCCCTTCCTGGTCTGCGCGGCTTGCTGGATGTACTGCCGCCTCCCCAGGTACGCGCACCGCGGCCTGGGCAAGCCGTGCGGGGCCAGCGCGGCGGCTGGGCAGCCCAAGAGCAAGAAGGGCTCCAGAGCCCAGGCGCGGTCGGACTTCGCACGTGGCATCCTGCCAGCGTCGAAGGATCCGATCGCGCCGCTGGCCTCGCCAAAGGAGAGCACGCGCCTGCGCTGGGCGGCGGCGCTCCAGGCCAGGCAGGGCCACGGCGCGGAGGAGCAGGCGCTCGCGGCGGCGCCCGTGCCAGCGCAGCGGCAGCCTGCAGCCGCCCCGCCCCCGCCACCTGCGGCTGGCGCTGGGAGCCAGGAGGCAGCGCCGCCGAGCGCCGCGGCGCCGCGGCGCCTGGCCGCGGCGGCCCCGCGGGCGGAGGCCGCCGAGCCGCGGCGGATCCGCCCAGGGCTCGAGGGCGTCCTCCGAGCCCACGGCTTCGCGGACGCTGCGGCGGCCCGCGAGCGCGGGAGAGCCGCGAGGGCAGCGGCCGCCCGCGCAGGCCGCGCGGTGGAGCTCGCCGAGGGCTGATGCGGGCTCGGCAGGTGGCTGTAAGCGCTCTCGCGGCCCTCCGCCTGCTCTGTCTCGTTCGAATGCTTGCATGCACCCCCTGTGCGCGCGCAGGGCCCCCAGAGATAAAAAAAAATGCTTGGCATCGCTCGGACGTGTGCGTTTTTTCCTCGGCGAGGACCATCGAGGAGCATCCTTGATCATTTGGCGAAAAAGCCACGCACGAAACCGAAAAAAACACGGACAATGGACGCGCGAGCGATGGCCAGAATGCCCCACCATGACCCCCTCTTCTGACCAGCGAGCAGACGGTGCAAGCTTCGAGCTCCGAGTTCACGAGCTGCGAGGAGGTCCCGGGCGGAGCGCCTGGCCCGCCCGAGCGGCACGGCCGGTGGTGCGAAGGGGGGAGCAGCCGGCTGCGTCAGAGAGCGCCGCTGCCCCTCTCCGCGAGGCTGCTGTCTTCGGGGTCCTCGCTCGCTTCGGGAGGGCTGTCTCGCGGTGGGGCTGCGGCCGTGCGAGCGCCGTGCCCCTCCCGGCTTTTCTCTTGGGGGGGGGTCCTTTCGCCGCGCGCTCGCCTGGGCCTCCTCAGAAATAAGCGGGGAGGGATTCTAAGACGTTGCGTTGCCTGTTTTGGGGTGGAAGGTGTCCAGGTGGCTCGACGCCGAGGATCAGCCACCAAGGGATGGGTTCTGAGCCCTGGCGCGCATCGCCTGGCGCCCAGCGCAGTGGGCGCTACGCCCACGGATGTACAGCTGGGGCCCTGAAGAAGGAACCAGGGAGAGGCTCGGTGTTCCTTGATGGTTCTACAGTTTGCCTTCTGTTTTCCTGAGGTCTTCCATGGGAAATCGAAGTTCAACTTATGGGAGAAAGGGGCCCCGTTCCTTATTTGGGGTTCCTTAGGTCAACACCCCGACTGTACGTCCAAGGGAAGGCTTGGAACTCATGGCGCAGCCACCTCCCCTGTGGATCTTGCCGCCACCACTACGGTTCGCTGGCAAGCGGGTGGCCGGGAGCGCTCGGCCGTCGCCTCTCCGCAGAGCGGTCTCTGCGGCCGCGGGGTTGGCGGCCCGCAGCATCCCAGCCTCGGGATGCCAAGTTGTGTAGCGAGGGCCCGAGGATTTGGGACACTGACGACGTCGAGCAAATTGGGGCCTCGAGGGTTGGGAGAGAGGGCCGGCGTGCATGTGATGCGAGATGGACACGTGAATCGGATGCGGGGGAAGGGGGAAGGGGTTGGACATGCTGCGCGCGGATAGCGAACGGGAAGGTGCAGACCTGGGGAACGTGAAGGGCGTGATAGGACAAAGAGTGGACCGGATGAGCTAGCTGCGGGAGGTGGAAATGGGGAAAGATGAGGCGGAGGATGGTGGGGAGAGCTGATTTTGCTGGGCGGGTAATTGTAACAAGTCAGTGCACGGGCTGGCTAGGAAACGTGGGACATGGTGAGCATCGGCATAGGATTGGCATGGAGCACGGAGGTCGGCAGCGGTTCTGGGGGATGCCAGCCCACCCTCGGGACATCGGCTTGACGCCGAACGTCGTGACATTTCCATGGCTCGATTCATGACTCGTGCCTTGGGCACAGAAGTGCCCGGACTGTATATTCATGCTAGGGCTTCTGAAGCCTGGCGGCACACATGCTCTGACACTCTTTCTCAAATGTATGGCTGGGCCCGGCAACCAGAACCACCAATAAACGCAGGTGCGCCCGGCACCCGGAACCACCAACAAGCCTAAGCTATCAGCTGTGTGTCTGAGCCAGGCGGCCACCCAAGCTCTCGCTCAGTACATTCATCGATCGCAGATTGCCCTTCCAGATCTTACACGGGGAGGGCCAGGGCAAGAGATGCGGGGAAGAGATCAGTTCCCACATAACCAACCTCTTTCTCCCCTCCTGACTCCTCACGCCCTCTGTCCGCTTCCAACAACTCGACGACTCCGAGACCGTGGTCCACGGGACAAGGCACAGAAAGGGCAGGATAGACGCAATCTGTGCGACGTGGACTCCGATGGGAAGGATGAGGTGGAAGTCAGGATGGCATCACTTGGGCAAGGTGAGGTCGGGAAGAACGCGCTGGAGCATGGCAAGGTAAGGCGGCCAAGACACGATGACGAGCGCTCGTGTTTTTTTGTTCGGTCCTCGTTTCAGCAAGGTCGCTCTGTGGGGCCGCTGGTGCGAGCGGCGCGAGGTGGAGTCAGATGGCAGGGATGTGGGTGGAGGAGTGGAGGGAGGGACAGCATGCGTGAGGATGGCCATCGCAGGAAATCCCACCCCCACATTTGTGGGATGGCTCACGGCGATGATGCGCGCAGGACTGCCGGCATTGCCGCCAGACTGTGTGCTGGAGGTCAGCACCGCTTTGCGAAGGCACTCGGAGAGAGGAACTTCTCGCGCGAACGTGTAGATGTGTGCAAGTGGCGCGTGTGTGCCGGACCGCCAGCATTGCCGCCGTGTTGCGTCCTGGATGCGACTGCCTCGTACGGGAAGCATGCGCGCAGGACTGCCAGCTTGGCCACCAGCAATGTTCTGGAGGCAAGTACCTCTTCCGTACGTGGCCAATTTGCGCAGGATTGTAGGTGTTGCCGCCATGCTGTGTACTCGAGGCGACACCTCGGTCAGGGCTAGCAATGAAGCAGCAATTGATAACAGCCATATGGAGAAACAAAGAAGGGAAATGGGGGCACTGACGAGGCGCGGGAGAATCAAGCAGTGGCGAAGCGTCCTGGCTCGCCTATGGGCCTACCATCTAAGAACCCTTGGTGGTTGCCACGAAATGTCCTTAGAACATTCCTGGCTGGGACTGTCTTGTTTCAGCGCGCCGGGCTTCTGTTCTAAGAGCACGGCTGTTGTTCTTGGAGCGCTTCGGAGCTCCACGGACATGTCGTGGCAGGCCTATGGGGAATGCCAGGACGGCGGGTCCCTGCCCGGGAGAAGGAGCGGGACAGCGGAGGACGCACCGTGGGAGCGCAAGGGTGCGCGCGGCGGCGGGCAGTGCCCGAGGCTGGGCGAGGGCAGAGCGCCCGCGGCCTCTCTCCTGGCAGCCTCCTCGGTCTCCTGCTGCTCCTCCTCGTCGTCCTCCTCCTCCTCCTCCTCCTCCTGCTGCTCCTCCTCCTCCTCTCTGCTCCTCCTCCTCCTCCTCCTGCTCCTCCTCCTCCTCCTCCTCCTCCTCCTCCTCCTCCTCCTCCTCCTCCTGCTCCTCCTAAGGTACTGGCGATCCTCCTCCTCCTCTTCCATCCTCGTCCTCCTCCTCCTCCTCCTCCTTTTCTTCTTCCTCCTCCTCCTTCTCCTCCTCCTCCTCCTCCTGCGCTCGCTCCCGCGCGCGCCTCCCACTCGCGCAGAAGAGGGTGCAAGCCCGGGGGGGACACGGAAAACGGGAGAAGAAGCAAAACAAAGGAGAGTGGATGGAGCCGACTAGACGTAAAAGTGAAATTTCGCCGGAGTGACCGTTGGTGCAGGCATAGATTGGCCCCCAGATCGCCGATCGTGCGCGGTTGTGCTCGGTCCCCCAGCGGCCCCCCAAAAGCCGCGCACGAAAGGTCACTCTTACCCAGGGTCACTCTTGCGTGTAGCCGATGGAGGCGGGGCGAGATGGGCGCACGGCGGACACAGGAGAATGTGGGCAGACAGGGTGCGTGTCCTCCTGGCCTCCGCCATTTCCGCTGGACGGTGTCCTGGAGGTCTGTGCCTCGTTGTGTGCACGCACGCCGTGCGTGCACGACCGGGTCCGGAATGGCCGCGGGGCTGTGTGCTGGAGGTCGGGGCCCCCATCACCGGCATGCAGGGGGCATGTGGCCCCCGCGCGGCCTACTCAAGAGGTGGACCTGGCGAGAGCGAGAAAGCAGCGGAGCCAGCACAGAAATAGCAAACAAGCACTGGCATCAACCTGCGAGCGGGATGTGCTCCTCGGGGGCGCAGCGCGCACGCGCCCGCACCGGCGCCCCATGAGTCCTGCGCCAAGAACACCATTCAGCCCAGTAGGTTTTCGGCACGGGGCAGAAGTTTGGGAGGAGGAGGAGGAGGAGGAGGAGCAGGAGCAGCAGGAGGAGGAGGAGGAGGAAGAGGAGGAGCAGGAGGAGGAGAACGAGGACTCTGACTCGCCGCTCGACAGTCCCGCCCTCCTGCCGCGCAGGGGGCCGCGGAGACGAAGACAGGAGGAGGCAAAGGCACCCTTCCTCTCCATCCCCCCTTCCCGTCCCGCCTCCTTGTGTCCGCCCTCCTCCTCCTGCTCCTCCTCCTCCTTCCTCCTCCTCCTCCTCCTCCTCCTCCTCCTCCTCCTTCCTCTCGCTTGTCACGCCCTCCCACCCCTCTCCCCCCCCCGCCCGTCACGCCGGAGAAGTACGCGTTGCGTCCGCGTCGCGCCCCTTGGAGGACGGAGGTCGTCCTGCACACGTCGAAGGGGGACCCTGTGCTGTACCAGGACGCCGCGGCCTCCGGGGCGGCTGGGCAGCAACCGCTGGGGGGGGGATCGAGACGCGGTTTCCTCTCATCCTTCCCCTCCTCCTTGCTCCTCCCCCCCTTCTTTTCCCTTCTGTCCTCCCTGCTCCCTCCCTCGCCCTCTCCCCGCCCCCTCCTCCTCGCTGTCCTCCCCGCTCCCTCTCTCTCTCCCGCTCTCCTCCCTCAATCCCTCCCCCATCCATCCTCCCTCCGGAGCTATTTTGGCTCCGGGGAGCTGGCTCACCGGAGGCCTCCGCGCGGCGCGCGCAGCAGGCGCTTGGGCGCGCGCTAGCGGCAGGGATGCAGGCCCGCCAGCGGGCGGCCGAGAGAGCGCGGACGCTGGCGCGGCGGCTCCGCTGCGAGCGGCGGGCCCAGCTGGGCAGCATGCGTTTGGGGGCCCAAAAATATACACCACCACCACCACCTCCCTCCCCCCCTCCCTCTCGCTGGAAAGAGGAGGGAGGAGGAATCGACGTGGTGGTGGTGCATATTCTTTGGGCTCCCATGCGTGCCGCGGTCCTCGCCTTCGGGCTGGAGAGCCCGCGCATCGTGCTGTCGCTGCACCTGGGCGGTCGAGGGCGTGCCGGGCGGCCGCTCCTCCACCAGTGGGGGGAAGCTGTGGTGTCCGCTCTCGCCTGCTGGGCTGCACGCCAGAGCGGGTACAGTCAGCCCGCATAGTCGCATAGTAAGGACGGGCAGCCTTCCAAGGGAACCCTTGCATCCTTGCCTCCTCGGGCCATCCTTGACCGCTTTCGCTGGCCGCGCCCCGCTCGCAGAGTGTCGACATGGCCCTCCAAGGCCCTTGCATCCTTGCCGCGCATCCTTGTTATACGGGTTGACTGTGTCTGAGCTCGTCGAGGCAGTGGAGGTGGGCAACTGGGCGCAGCATGCTTCGCCGCCGGGCGCACAGCCGCGGCGGCCCGACAGTTTTCAGTCTCGTGCTTGGGAGAACTCGCTGCAGGGCCGAAGCGAGCGCGCTTCCTGCTGAGGCGGCGGGTGTTGTACCCACGGGCGGCGGTGATGCGAAGCAGAAGGCGTCAGAGTCCGCTCTCTTGGAAGGCCTTGGGGTTGTGAGTACTGGTGACCAGTGCAAAATAATTGAGGCATGTGCGGGCGCGCGGTCCAACGAGGCCATGGGGAAGACAGGGGTTCGAGCTCGACGAGCCGAAATCCTTCGACTCGCCGCTGGCGGTTGCGGTGACAGAGGACTTGACCGACGGGGAGTTCCTCGAGGAGCGCGAAGCAGGACGTGGCCGACGGGGAGTCCATCGAGAGGGACCCGCTGCAGGCGGTTGCGGCGACGGAGGCCGAGATTCTGAAGGCCAACGGGGTGTCCATCGAGAAACCTGTGACGAGGGGCGTCACGGAGAAGTTGGAGCAGCTGCCGGCCTATGGGGACGCGCGGTCCGACGAGGGCATGGGGGAGAGTGATGGGTTCAAGTTCGACCCGTCGAACTCCTGCGGCTCGCCGCAGGCCTCATGGCCGACGAGGAGGCCCTCGAGGAGCTGCTGGCCCGTGTTGGCGCGCGGCCCGCGAGGGCATGGAGGCGCTCCACTTCTTCGACATGGGCTCGGAGAGCGGTAGTGAGGGCGCGGAGTCGGAGTAATCGGGCCTCGCGCTCAAGTCCTTTTGGATGAGCTGATGACGAGGGGCGTCAAGGAGAACATGGAGAAGGACGCGCCCCTGAACCCTTGAACGCGGACGCGCTGTTCCGCTTGGATGAGGACGGACGGCGCGAGGCACCTCCCGAGACGTGGTGGGGCCGCCCTGGGCGAGAATGATGCCGCCCGAGGGGCGCCGCGATCGAGGCCTCGATCGCGAAGCGGGGGGGGGATGAGCGGCCCCCTGGCCGCCGACGGGTGGCACGGCGAGGGGGCGGGGGTCACGGAGACTCGGGCCTCACGGAGACTCGGGCCGTGGAGGGGGCTCGGACGCGACGTCCCAGAGGAAGCAGGAGCTGGTGCACGCGCCGATGGCAGGCGCTGGTGTGCAGAAGGTGCGTGCGGCGGCGGACGAGTCCGTGCTGCGGGCGGCGCCGAGTGCTGGCGCTGATGCGCATGCTTCCCGTGAGCCGAAGGTGAGCGGAGGTTCGGGCGAGGAGGTGCACTCGTTCGCGGGAGCCTGGGGGCGGGCGTGCTCCAGTGGGGCGTGAGGCAGCGGGCCCTGGCGCTGCTTCGCCAGCAGTGCGGCGAGTGAGGAGGAGGAGGAGGAGGAGGAGGAGGAGGAGGAGGAGGAGGAGGAGGAGGAGGAGGAGGAGGAGGAGGAGGAGGAGGAGGAGAGAGGAGGAGGAGGAGGAGGAGGAGGAGGGGGAGGAGGAGGAGGAGGAGGAGGAGGAGGAGGAGGAGGAGGAGGAGGAGGAGGGAGGAGAAGGAGGAGAAGAGGGGAGGAGGGAGGAGGAGGAGGAGGAGGAGGAGGAGGAGGAGGAGGTCGGGCCTGTCCGTCTGCGGGGAGAATATTCAGAAATAGTCAAAACATAGTCCGGGGACTCTTTTTGGGATATTTGTTGACCACTTCGGGTTTTTTCTATACGCATATGTATATATATATATATATGTATATATATATATATATATATATATCATTGTTCGTCGACGCCTCCACTGTAGGAGGACAGGCCCGACTGAAGGCAAGCTGCGCAGGGCTGCCCGGGAGCACTCCCGGCCGGCGGCGGGGCAGGGCGGGGCGGCCCTCCCCCGTGGGCGGAGCCGCCGTGCCGCACGCGAGCGCTCGTGCGGCGCACGCCCGCGGCACGCCCTTCCAAGGTTCCACGTGCCGCGGCAGGAGACGAAAAGCAGTGGCGCAGCGTCCCGGCTTGCCTGTAGCCCTGCCAAACACTGGTCTGAGAACCTCCTTGTGGCTTTCACGAAGTGCTCTTCGGACAGTTCTGGCTGGAGCCTGTCTTTTTTGTATCACCTCGGGCTTCTGTTCGAAGAACACTTGTTTTTGCTCGTAGAGCATTCCGGGGTTCGAAGCTCATTTCGTGGTAGGACTATAGGAATGCTGGGGCGGTCGGTCCCTGCTCGAGAGGCGCGGCACCGGCGACGCGAAGGCAGGAGTGGCCAGAGCGTCGCCGCGGCGTGCACCTGCGCGCCGCCCTGCCCGCCCGCCCCGTCGCGGAAGGATCGCGCGGCGAAGGTTCTCAGGGCGCGGCGATTTTCCCGGCACGCCACGCGCCGCGCGGGGCAAGTCCTCGGACATGCGGGTCGAAGAAGACGAAGAATAATGATCGTAATAGTAAGAAGAAGAAGAACAACATCGAAACAAACAGAAGAAGGGGGGGATACGCTTTCGCCGGTCCTTGAAGGTGTTCTAGCCTCGGGGTGCTTGCCAGCAGCTGCGCACCGTCGAGGGCGTCCTGGGGTCGTCTCGACCGGTCGCAGGAGGCCCGAGTTATGACCTGAGAGCAACCAGTCGTGGATGGGGGGGGCGGGGACACATGGGTGTGTGGGCACTATGGGCGGGGCCATAAGATCTAAGATCCCCCAGATGACATGGCTCCCCTCTTATCATTGCAGCACGCCCCCGTGGCACATGCATCTGGCCATGGTGCGCTTTGGCGAGGAATGCATCACCCGATCCTGGGTCCGGGGTGCGTCACCCGATCCTGGGTCCGGGATGCGGCCTGGCCAGGATCGGTGCGGGCGTTAGCTGACGCCCTCTGGCCATAGAGCCGGATCCGAGTAGGGGTCGGCCCGGAGGGGAGCCAGAGCGGTGTGCGTCGGGTTGGACCAGAGTCGACCTCCGGCTTCCTGGCGCCCCTCTTCAGGCGCACCCGACGCGTGTGCGGAAGGGTGGGTTACGTGTCATCGGGTTGAGAGTCGTTTTGATCATGAGCGTCGCGCCCTGGTGCTAATCAAGACCTATCTCGCTGAACTCGCCTCAGTCAGGTTGGCCGCGCTGCCACACTCGCGGTCCCAGTCAGATCCGTGTCAGCGCATCTCAGCACCGCCGGTCCAGCCAGACCCATGTTGGCACATGTTCACACATTCGGGCGAGACACCTGACAGATCCTGGGATCCGACGTAGCGAAAAATTGCAACATCATGAAATTCCGCGCCCTGAGCCCTGGACCCCATCTTTCAGCGTCATTTTTCGAGCCGGATCGATCTGTGAGGGTCCCGGGGCCCGAGAAGAGGCGACAACGCCCGGCTCGAAAAAATCGAGTCGCCAGGATCTTAGGGGAAGCGAGGAAGAGTTATCACTGAAGCGAGCTGCCCCAAAGGCAGGAGGAACGTGACTTCCAGCCAGATGTCGCAGGCCTAGAGATTGACACCAACACCAATATCGGCGCTGTTCCTCCACCGAGGGAAGAAAGATCCCGATCTCGGTGATGGTGGTAATATGTTGGCTTCCAAGGAGACCGAAATATTACCACCAACACCGAAATCCAGGATCGTCTTCCCCCTGTGGATGCAGCCCCCTTGTCTTGGTGTTGGTGCCCATTTCCAGCCAGACGGCACCGAGGGTGGCCTCGGCGCGGGCGCCCTGGCCGCGCCTCTGGAGGGGGAGGCCGCTCTCGTCACGCCGCCGCCCGGGCCTTCGGGCGCCGGCGCTGGGCGCCGCCCGTGTGTCGGGGGCGGAAAAAAGGGGGGTGATGACTAAGGGGGGGGGGGATAGTCTCCAGGGGCGCCGTCCTGACAAAATCAGGGCGTCGCATGTCTGGGTCCGTCTCACTCACTCCCACCCCGTGTGACTGGGAACCGCGCGCGCTGATGAAAGTCGAGGGCGGCGAAGAGGGGGGTGATGACTAGGGGGGGGGGAATTCATGGCGGGGCCATGATATTTCCCCAGATTTCATGGCGCCTTGTCTTATTTCATTGCGTCCCTGGCCCCCCCGCTGGGCCGCGCACATGCCGCCGGTCATGATTTGAACCCCCCCCTCTTGGACACCCCCCTCTTGGCCGCTCCCGACTTGTGTCGGTGGTGGCGCACGGTCGCTGCCGCCGTGCCTCGCCTCCCGCCGGGAAGAGTGGGCAGCAGCTTCGTCGGCAGCGGCTTCTGTATAGGCCTCCCAGATGTGGTCCGAGTGGCTGGGTTCCGAGGATCGCGCCGCATCGCCGATGCATCTCCACGAGCGGCTCGATGTGGAGTGTCCGTGGTTCTTCGCGCTGGCGTCGCCGACGCATCGCCGATACATCGGCGATGCACTGGCGGTGCGGCGCGGTCCTTCGACCCCATCTACATTCGAGTATGGCCAGGACCCCGGGTAAGGGGACCCGGTTAGTGGTAGGGCCCTTGGGCCCCTCAATTGGCCAGATTCACTAAACCAGGTTTGCCGTAACTTGTGTTTCTCGGGTGACGGCAATTCCAGTGAGTGGGAATGGGGCGGGGGGGCGCCCCCGGTACAAATCACGAAACCAGGTTCCATCAAACCCAGTTTTGCCAACGTCCGATACTTGGACCCCCCTCTGGGAGGCCTCTGTTGCTTGTAATGGAGGATGACGATTAATAAATGACCGGAGGTCGTGTTCACGCGGCGGCGCCCGGGATGACGATTAGAAAAATCCGGCCGCGGGCTGGAAGACTATTTTTTCAATCGTTCTCCCTCCAGTCAGAAAGTTGTGCAGAAATCGCAGAAAGCTATTTTTTTAATCGTTCTCTCCCTTTTTTATTAATATCCCGCATTGGTCGACGGCAGGGGCGAAGAGCCCTGGGGGGAGCCGTGCGCGGAGCCGCCGTGGCCGCCCTGGGATAGTTGAGTGCGTGCTCTGATCTTCCCTGTCACGCAGGGGCGAAGCGTTTTGGCTCGCCTATACAGTCAACGCGCCTAGTAAGGATGCGTGCCTTCATCTAGGGCCTAGGGTACCCTTGAGTCCTTGCCTCTGCGGCCCGTCCTTCGCCGTTTTCACTGGTCGCCCCCCGCCCCAAAAATCCAACTTCGGCCTCCAAGGGTCTTGCGTCCTTACCAGCCGTCATCAATATACGTTTTGACAGTAGCCCTACCAAACAATGTTCTAAGAACTTTGTGTGGTTCCCACGGCATGTTCTCATAACATGTCTGGCGGAGTCCGTCTTGGTTCAGCACGTCGGGTTTCTGTTCTAAGAACATCGTTCTTGATCTTAGAACACTTTTGGGTTCTAAGAACATTTCGTGGTAGGGCTATAGGAATGCCGGGGCGGCCGGTCCCTGCTCAACCCTGCGCTATTCGCCCCCACCGTCGCTCCCGAGTTGCCTGCCCTCGCCCCCTCCTGCCTCGAGGAAGGACACAACACACACACACACTTTCGGATGTCCGCGCGGGGAGGGGGGTCCAGCGCCAGGGGAGGGGTGTTCCAGCGCCGACCCAGGAAGTTCGCGCGGACCTCCGAAAGCTTATGTGTATGTCGCTTGTTGGTCCTCTACTCCCCCTCCTCTCCCTCTTCATGCTGCCCCCTCCCTTCCCCCTCCTCCAGCTCATTATGCCTGGTTTGTATATTATGCTAACCCTGTCCTCCGTGTTGAACAGCGCTCAAGTGCAGCAGTCTGGAGTCCCAGGCCGCGAGTGCTCTCAATACCAAGAACTCAATCGACCAAGGCTGCAACATTCATTCCTGAAGACTTTCTTTGCAGCACGTGTGAAACATGTTGGGGCACGCCATGTCCCATGACACGCAACATTTCGTACCAGGTGTTTATATTCGCAGCGTACGCGCGAACAATACAATGCAGAACCCGCGTCGCCTTCTAAACATCAACCTTGCTGCATTCAGCTTGACGGCCCCCCTAGAACACTGCACAAAAGTGCTGGTTATTCAGTCTTCGCGATCGCCCTCCTCTCTGTCCTCCCTACTCTTTGCCTCTGTCCTCTTCCCTCCACTTCCCCTGCCTTCCCCCCACTTCGCCAGAGAGTCATTGCTCCTGTGACTTCAGCCGCCCCGAGGACATGGGTGGCGCGCCAACCTTTGTGGTACAGCGCTGCACCCCCGAGCTCTACAACCCCGAGGCCACCTCCGTCTCCTCCCGCCTCCTCTTCCGCTCCACCACCTCCTCCTCGCCCTGCGGCTGTTGCTGGTTCCTCTCCTTCCTCCTCCTCTTCTGCATCCTCCTCCTCCTCTTCTTCTTCTGCCTCCTCCTCCTCCTCCTCCTCCTCCTCCTCCTCCTCCTCCTCCTCCTCCTCCTCCTCCTCCTCCCCCTCCTCCTCCTCCTCCCCCTCCTCCTCCTCCTCCTTCTTCCTCTATCGTCCACCTCTCCGCTCCCCTTCCCCAGGCCGCCCCCGCCGCGGAGACCCCCTCGCCGTCGCCGCCGGTGCTGAGGCCCCGCACCCCGCTGGGCGCAGCCCGCAGCCATGCCCGCATCCCCGTCTGACGGCCGCAGCGGGGGGCGCCCACCCGCTGGCCGGGTGCGCGGCACCGAGCGCGCCAGGGACGCCGTCCTGAAAAAATCAGGGCGTCGCGTGTCTGGGTAATTTAGCCCTGGTCACGAGGAAGATTTTCGAGCCCCCAAAAGAGTACCCAAATCAAATGGCTTTCACGCGTCGGTCCCTGCGAGGCACTCGTCCGACACTGTTTCGACACTTTTCCGGGCGCTCGAGATGATTTCTGGAATGTGGTCCTTAAGCACGACGGGAGCAACAGAAGTCTGGTGTGCACACTGCGCGCCAGGCTCGTGCCACACCTCGGCGCGGCGGCGACGCCGGCGCGGGCGCTCAAGGTTGAGCGTGTTGGCGCCTCTCCAGGGGGGATGGCCTCGGATCCCTGGGCCTATAGTCCTCCCGTCGTCGTGTAAGAATATCGCCCTCGTCGCGAAAAAATATCGACGAGAGCAGGCCTGGGGGAGTGGTGCACAGGCTGCCGCGAAAGAGTCACGGCGTCAGAGATCGTGAGGCCTTGAGGCCCACAGAGAGAACAGCCCGCGGCACAGCGTGGACGGCGGAAGGTGGGGGTCGGCAGCCTCCGGGGGCACCATGGAGGGAGCGTTTTCTTCAACCATGCGAGAGTCGGGTTGACCCAAAAGGGGGTCCAGCGACAAGGGGTTGGTGCAACAGATTTGTGGGGTTGCAATACACTTGGGGCGTGCAATACATTCTGGGGCGCAAATGTATTGCTGGATTTTCGCGTGCAATACATTAGTTCCAATACAACGCAATACAATTCTCCAGCGCAATGCGTTTGCAATACAATTGCCCCACATCTATTGCACCACCCCCTTGCAGCTGGACCCCTTTGTGGGTCGCCCAGGGAGAGGAGCCCCGCGGCAAGAGAAAGAGAAATATTGAGAGAGCGGGGGGGAGGGGGCAGCAGCGGGGGAGCGCGCCCCGCGCGCGCGCGCGCCGGGCCCGCTGAGGGGCGCCCCATCGGCACCAGGAAGGGCGGCCGCCCGCCGCGCTTCACCAGGGCCGCAGCCGAGGCGGGCCGCCTATAGCCTCAGGTCGGGCCCGTCCCCCCTGCAGGGGGATCTTCGACGAAAAATAAGAACTAGGACAAAAATAGTCAAGAAATAGACAACACATAGCCTGGGGACTATGTTTTTTTTTTTGTTGCATTTTTGGTTTTTTGTTTTTTTTATTTTTCGTCGACAATCCCCCTGTAGGGGGACACGCCCGACATAACTATAGCCTCAGGTCGGGCCTGTCCCCCCTACAGGGGGAGCTTGGAAGAAAGTAGAACAGAGTCAAAACAGATTCAACAGGTGCCAACAACAATGCAAAACATAATCCCCAGACTATGTTCGGACTATTTCTGAACATTCCCCCTGTAGGGGGCCAGGCCCGACTTTAACTATAGCCGCCTCCCACGCCCGGCTGGGCCGCTTCTGCCGTCGCCGCCCTGGCCACGACCCGCCGGAAGGCGGCGTCGCCGAGCGCGTCCAGCTCGGCCTCAAGCGCGGCGGGCGGCGCGGAATTGGCCGCGCGTCGGGGCGCCCAAAACGGGCAGGCGAGGGCGCGCGCCGCGTTTCCCCCGCCGAGGGTGAGCAACAGCGCCCGCGTGTGCGCCTCCTCGGGGGCGCGCGCCGCGCCTGCGCCGCGGGCCGCTGCCGCCGCCCGAGCCCGGCGCTCGCGGCCCTCGCGCGTGGCATCGGCCGCCGGCGCCCAGCCAGCCTCGCCCACGCCAGCCCTGCAGGCGCCCTCCGCGGGCGCGCGTCGTGGAGGGCCATCCAGGTGGCGTCCGCCAGGGACTCGGCGCCGCGGGCCGCCCCCCTTTGGGGGCGCTCGCCGCTGGCGCCCGCGCTGCGCCGCCGCCGCCCCTGCTGCTGGATACCCCGTGCTTCTGCCAGTAGCTAGTAAGTGCCGCACTAAGCTGACCGTGTCCTAGTAAGTGCCGCACTAAGCTGACCGTGTCCTCGGCGAGTCAGAGCGCAATTCTAAAATTCGCCGCCGCCCCAGCTCCCGCGTTGCCTCCGCCCGGCGGACGCCCTGGCCCCAAGTCAGTGCCCGTCGCGCCGGGCGCGTCGGCGCGGGTCGCCCCGCCCGGGGCCCTCTCCCCGGCTCCGCGGGCCGCGCCCTCGAGGGCGCGCGCAGCGTGGGGGCGCTCGGTGTCGCGGGCCGTTTTGTACGGGGGCGCTCGCCGCGTGGGTGTGCTCGGCGGCGGCGCCGGCCGCCCCCTCGGGGGCGTTTGCCGCGGGCGCCTGCGCAAGGCCGCCGTCGTCCTCGTCGTCCGCGTCGGCCCAGGAGGTTCCGGCGCCAGCCCGAAGCCAGCGCGCGTCTGGGAAAGCATGGCGCCCCCCCAACCGCTCTGACGCCTCATTCGGGCCGCGCCTGGAAAGGATCCAAGAGCCCAGGGCTTCGTACGGCACCAGCAGGTCGTGGCCCTCGCTTGCAGCGCCTCGTGCGCCTGGCAGACTGCAGGCCCGCTCTGACGGGGCACCCACTACAGGCCCCCGCCCGCCGCCCTCAGGCGTGGCCCACCTTCTCCTTTCCCCCGACGGACCACACGGAGGTCTCTCCTCCCAGGTGCTCCACGGCTGTGGAACCCCAGCCTGCCTGCCGGAGGATCTCGCAGAGGCCCTCCGCCGAAGCCTCTTCTTCCGCTGCTGCTCCGGGCACCGCGGAGGCAAGTTTTGCTGGGGCGTTCTGTGCTGGCGGGGCGCTCGAGGCCGCTGGGGGCGCCGGAGCTGGCTGTCCCCCGTCGTGGCTGGGGCAGGGGCTCTCGGAGCCTGCGCTCGCCTGGCCGCAAGCCTGGTCCGCTCGGCCGGCGCAGCGCTCCGCCGCGCCCAGCGTCTCCCCGCGCAAGAGCCAGGAGCCGGAGGAGCTCTCTACGCCGCGCGAGCTCCCCTCGGGGTTCACCGCCGCCGCTGGTGCTGCTGAGTCTCCGGAGAGGAGGGGGTCTCCGCCTGCGGCGCCGCAGCGGGTGGCCACGTATTGGCGGTGCCGTCGCCGCCGCGCCCTCCCCGCACTCCAGCCACTCCTCCCCCGCAGCAGAAGAGCTGCACGGGTTCAGCGCCCCGTCTCCCAGGCCGCCCGGCGGATCCTGGTCGCCCGCGGGGACCCGGTCGCTCTGCGCGGTGCGCGGAGCCGGCCTTGGCGGGGCCACGGGGGCGCCCGCCGCGCGGCACCCCCGCTCCTCCTGGGCGGTGGGCGGCCGCGCCAGCGGCGGCGGCGGCAGCGGGGTCCGGACTTTCGGACGGGTCGCCCGCGGCGCGCCCGGTTGGCGCCCAGCGCGGCTGCGGTTGCGCCTCGCGCGGCCCGTCGTTTTCATGGCTCGTGCTGCGCCCGCGGTCCCGCCGCCTCGCGGGGGCAGGGGCGTCCACCCGCAGCTCCGCTTCCCGCGTGGCCCGCCCAGGGGCCCGGCTCCAGGCGCGCCGGCGCCGCCCGCCCGCCGCGGGCACCACGCCCAGGCCCCGCCCTGCTTACCGGGAGGGGCGCCCGCGCTGCCGCCCCGCAGAAGCCATCCATACACAGGGCCCGTGCCGCGTGGGGGGCCCCCCCCCGCGCGCCGCGCGAGCACGTGCGGTCGGGGCAGGCCTCGAGCCTGGCCCTCAGCTGCGGCCAAGCGTTAAGTCGGGCCTCTCCCTCTACAGGGTTCCCAAATAGTCCAAAAAACAGTCTGGGCACTATTCTTTGAATATTTGTTGACCATGTGGGGTAATGTTTGACTATGTTCTATTTTTCGTCCAAAATTCCTCCTGTAGGGGGACATGCCTGACCCAAGCCAAGCACGATGCGCCAGGGCAAGCGCATCACACTGGAGCCAAACTGGCCACGGACACCAGAGGGGGTTCACGCGGTGTCAGAAACCAGGGACCACGTCGCTAGGGCAGGAACTTGCCGCCGTCTCCCTCGCTCCGTTAATTCAGAATTCGTCTGGTGGCGGACGCTTTGTGACAGCGCTATGCTGGTAAACCCCGCTTCACATGGTGTTGTCTTGCATGTTGTTTGAATGATTTACATTGTATGTTGGCGACGCCTCTATCCCCCGCCTGTCCGCGCAGGTGTGCGGGTCGATTTGGTTGTAGGTTGTATGTCTTGCCTCGCGGGTTGGCCACTAGCGCGACCAGCGGCACTACGACTCGCCTTTCCTGGCTCCTGGTCGGAGTCCACGCGCTGCGTCTCCACGGCCGGCGAGAGACCCTCTGAACGCGCATTCGTGTCAGCCTCGGCCCGCGATTTCTTCGCCGCGGGAGCACGGCTCCGGCGCGTCGGCGAGGGCGCTGGCGGCACTGTCGGCGAAAGAAAACGCCGCCGTGAAGGTGTTGTTGCTGGCGGCTCCGTCGAGGTTGCCGACGCAAGTCGCCTCCTCCAGGAGAGGGAACCGGGAGGAATGGGACGGAATGACGAAAGGGATCGACTAGACGCAAGAGTGACCTTTCGCCGGAGTGACCTCTGGTGCGGGCACAAATTGGTCCCTATAGACGGCTAAAAACGAGGCAGTAGCAGCTGCTTGCGCGCCCAGGTTTGGTCCCCCCGTGGCCCCCCAAAAGTCTCGCACCAAAGGTCACTCTTACCCAGGGTCACTCTTGCGAGCAGTCGTTAAAGGGAGGAGGGAGGGAGGTGAGGGCTTGCTTGTGATTTTGTCGATCGCGCCAGTGTAAGTATAGGGCGCTGACCTTGCCCAGCTCGCCTGGCCGCGCAAATATTGTTGCCCTGCCTCAATGGCACGTCCTCTCGTTCATTTTGTTCTGCCGCTGGCTCCCCGGACATGATCGCGTCGTACAGAAATCCGGACGGGAAGTTTTCGGCCATGTTCGGCCTCGGTGGGCCCTCGCCGGGCCTCGGGACCGTCAACAAAACGACTCGGGACGAAAAGCCGGTCCCGGGGAAAGGGTCAGGACTTCCAGGGGCGCCGTCCTGACAAAAATCGGGGGCGGAAAAGAGGGGGGTGATGACTAGGGGGGGGGGAGATATCATGGCGGGGGCCACTATATTTCCCCAGATTTCATGGCGCCTCTTCTTATTTCATTACGTCCCTGGCCCCCCCGCTGGGCCGTGCACATGCCGCCGGTCATGATTTGCACCCCCCCCTCTTGGACACCCCCCTCTTGGCCGATCCCGAGAAAAATCAGGACGTCGCATGCCTGGGTCCGTCTCGCTCTCTCCCACCCTCGCCTGGCCTGGACCTTCCGGCTGCTGTGTGTATGCGTGCGTGTGACTGGGAGCCGCGCGCGCTGAGGAAAGAGCGGGAGAGGAATGGCAAGGGCTTGGCATAGCTCGGACGTGTGCATTTTTCCTTCGGCGAGGACCATCCAGGAGCATCCTTGATCATTTGGCGAAAAAGCCACGCACGAAACCGAAAAAACACACGGATGGACGTCCGAGCGATGGCGAGAGGGGGACAGTGAGACAACGGCGGGGACGAGAATTGCTAGCATGAAGTCGGGCCTGTCCCTCTACAGGAGGGATCTTCAAAAATAATAAAAAAATAGCAGGTGGACGATTATTGGGCTATGTTGGACTAAATTTGAATAGTTTGTCCTCCAAAATCCGCCTGTAGGGGGACACGCCCGACCTAATGCTAGCAAAGCCTTGCCAAGACCGCGCCAGGGATCCTGGCACGACTCTACCACGACATCACCAGGGCCATATCGTCTTCTGTCGCCAGCGGTGCGTGCCGTTGTCGGTGGTCCGTCGTTGTGGTCGCTGTCGTCGCCGGTACGTCGTCGTCGTTGTCGTCGTCGTCAGCGTCCGCTCTGGTGCTGCCGATCCATGCGGGAGGGCGGTGAAGGACGAGCGGCACCTTCGTGGAGTCCGTGCCGCTCCCTTCCCGCCACATCTCCCCAGGCCTCCAAGGCATCGTGAGTCGTACGGCCCGGGGGCCTGCGGGCCACCACGACACGGCGCAGTAAAAAGAGTCCAGGAGCTCGGCGCGGACTGCCGAGATGTTCTGCGTGTGGCGACGTCTGCTCCTCGATGCCCGCTCCGGGCGGTCGCAGCCCTTCCTGGGTAGTCGAAGGCCAGACTGTCAGGTTGGATTGGGCCCCAGGGGCCAATCTGGCCCGGCCAAGCTGGAGGATTGGGGCTATTCGCCAGACCGGATTCGCGTCGGCTCCCTCGTCAGATTGCCCCCGTTTGCCAGACTGGGCCTGCCAGGTTGGCGCCAGATTGGCTTCGACTGCCCAGCCCTTCCCCTCCACCCCCGGGGGCCACCAAGAGGCGGCGCAGTGTGAGCATCCAGGAGATCGGCGCGGACCTCCCCAGTGTGATGCGCGTGGCGGCGGCTGCTCCTCGGCCCCCGCTGCGGGGCGGTCGCAGCCCTTCACCCTTCACCCTTCCCCTCCTCCTCCTCCTCCTCCTCCTCGTCCTCCTCCTCCTTCTCCTCCTCCTCCTCCTCCTCCTCCTCCTCCTCCTCCTCCTCCTCCTCCTCCCTCCTCCCCCTCCTCTTCTCCATCCTCCTCCTCCTCCTCCTCCTCCTCCTCCTCCTCCTCCTCAAAAAAAAAACGTCCGAAGGGGGGAGTCTCTGGAGGGTACGGGGGTCGCTGAAGCAGGCTCACGGAGCGCAGAAGCGAGTTGCCCTCCGTGAGCTCATGGCCGCTCCCACTGCATGCATGCGCGCCGTCGCATAGAAGGCAATCCACGTGTCTTCCGTGAAGCGCGTTTGCCTTCGGGGAGGGGGACCATTTGGTGCGAAGAGGACCCCACGGTGTAGCAGCTGGGCGACGGAACGAGAACGTGGAGGTGGATGAGGGAGGTGCAGGGAGGAAGGAAAAGGATAAGGGAGACGAGGAGGAGTGAGGCGCGAGGAGGAGGAGGAGGAGAAGGGATAACAGCAGAAGGTCTTTAATGATGGCCTCCCCCCTTCGAAGCTCTTGGGGGCCAATAAAACTCGTCCTGCCCCTCCCCGTCCCTCCCCTCCTCGCCCTCCTCGCTCTCCCTCATTGCCCTCCTCGTGCTCCCCTCCTCGCCATCCTCCTCGTGATCCCCGCCTCACACTCCTCGTGCTCCCCTCGTCGCTCTCCCCCTCGTCCTCCATCTCCTCGTCCTTCCCTTTCTCGTCCGGAAGAAGAGGAGCAGGAGGAGGGATACAGTCAACCCGCAAAATAAAGATGGGCAGCCTTCCCAAGGATACCCTTGCATCCTTGTCCCTTCGGCCCATCCTTGGCCACTTTCTCTGGCCGTGCCCCGCTCGAAAAGCATCGAAATGGCCCTCCAAGGCCCTTGCATCCTTATCGCGCATCCTTACTATGCGGGTTGACTGCATGGGCTGGAGAACGGGTAAAGTGAACGATGGCCTCCCCGCCGCAGCAGCCGGGGCCGTGGCTACCCGAGCCGCCGCTGGTGAACGTGGGGCCCTGGGGCAAGTCGCCCCGCGCAAGGCCGTACGTTTACTCTCGGCGCCGCTGCCCGTCGTCGTCGTTGTCGTCGCCGCCGCCGTCGTTGTCGTCGCCGTTGCCACCGCCGCCTCCATCGCCATCGTCGCCAGTGCCACCGCCGTCGTCGTCGCCGCCGTTGTCGTCGTCGTTGCCGCCGCCGCCGCCGGCGTCGCCATCGAGTGCTCAGGTCTTTGGGTTATCCAGAGGTCTTGTTTCCATTGATTAGCATTCCTTTTCATCTTCTTACTCCTGGTCCTCAACCAGAAATGCCGCCCAGGTGCGATGTAGCATGGCCAACACATCCGTTTACTGTAGCTCCTTTTTTTCCTTATGACACGTTCGCATCGGCATCGTGGTATGACTGTTGGCCATTCTTTTGTGTGTCACGACCATGCCTCTTCCCTTGGCACCAGGGCAGTGCAATCCACTGCACGCGAGTTCGGCCGACCGAATAGAGGACATTCTTTCCAGGACAGCCAGTTTGGATGTGCTCTGTCTGTCTGGGACCAAGCAGACGGTAGCAATGGACAGCATGTACGTTGAAGGCATCACGCATGCACGTTTGAAGCATCAGTGTAGCAGCGTGCACGTTTGAAGGCATCAGTGTATCAGCGAGTTGATGCAGCAACGTGGATTCCTCAGCCCTCTCGGCTCTTGAGAAAAGAGTCGTTTGCGCACTCCGTCATGGTAGCGGAGCCGTGGTTGCATGCGTGAGCTTCCAGTGCTCGCTCGCGCGTCCCACGGCTCCCAGGTGCCTCTGTCATCTTCCTCTTCCACGTCGGCGTCGCGGTCGCCGACACCGCCCCCAGGGCCTCGAAGGGAGGCTCCTGGACCAGCGGCCCCAGAGGCCGCGCCAGAGAGGCCAGTACCAGAGTACCTGGCCCGCGCTCCCTGGCGCCTCGAACGAGCGAGGGCTGGGAAGGAACCGCGCCCCTTGCCGCAGCCCTGGCGCACGGCGGCAGCGTCTGGCCCTGGAGAGGCCAGAACTCCTCCGAAGAAGCGGAGGGAGGCCGTCAAGCGCCCGAGGTCCGCTGAGGCCTTCGGGCTGCGCCAGTCTAGGAAGAAGTTCAAGCTGTTCGTCCGCACGACGGGGCGTTTGGAGGACGGCCGCACGCTGTCCGGGGCTGCCAGGAACTCGCTAGCGCAGAGACAGGTCGAGAACCTGTTCAACAGCATCTGACGTCACAATGGCGACGGCAGACGAGCAACTGAGAGTTCTGCAGGCACAGCTGGCGGAGCTGCAGGGCGTGGTGACCACGCTGGCCCAGCAGCAGCCGCAACCGGCACCGGCAGCGCCTGCCGCAGCAGCCGCGGCCGCTGCCCCCAGCCAGCTTCCACCGGCCATCGATACCAGGGTTATCGGTAAGCCAGAGATGTTCTTCGGAAGCAGGGAGAAGTTCCCAGAGTGGTCGCTCGTGTTCAAAGCGTACATTTCCGCCATCGACGCTAGGTACTCTGACCTGTAAGAACAAGGTTCTGATAAGGAGAGTATCATTCGGAATCTAGACCTAGGACCTAGAGCCACACGAGAAGCAGTTGTCAAAACAGCTATACTATATATCTATCTACATTAGTTGTGCTTTGTCGTGATAAGGCACAAGACAAAATGAACACAGTGGGCTCTGGAGAAGGTTTCGAGGCCTGGAGACAGTTCATCATCAACTGGGACGCCAAGGTCCGCACGCGCAGGGTTGGCATGATGATCCAGATCTTGACAGCTAAGTTCGGAGATGACATACCTCAATCCCTGGACCAGTTCGAGACGATGGTCAGGGAGTACGAGCAGCAAAGCAAGAAGGTGTTCGACGACGATCTCAAACTAGGTCTTGTCGTGGTGAACATGACAGACCCGGAGGTCCAGAAACACCGGGTCAAGAATGCCAGCCGCTTGGACACGTTGAAGGCGATGAAGGACGAGTTGCTGGACATGGCTCGCACTGAGCAGTACCTCGACTCACAGGCCAGGCCCATGGAGCTCGGAGGGTTTCCCAGGCCCAAAGCAAAGGAAGGAAAAGGGAAAGGCGACCACAAAGGAAAAGGAAAAGGAGACGGAAAAGGGAAAGGAAAAGGAGACGGAAAGGGCAAAAGCAAGGGCGACGGCGAGGGCAAGGCAAGCAAAGGTAAGGGCGCAGAGACACGCAAGTGCTTCTACTGTGAGAAAAACGGCACCTGAGCGCGCAGTGCCCCAAGAAGGCTGCCGACAAGAACCGGCAGCTTGCAGCGGCCCCAGAGGCCGCGCAAGACGACGCCGCCACAGACTCAACTCATGTACGGCCCGCCCCAACGATGGGCGCCCTAGTGAGGCCGGACAGTGATGGCGAGCGCGACTATGGGTTTCTCATGCCCTTGGTCGGCGACGACGCGCCGCTAGCACCAATGCCGCCCAGGAGGGTGATGGTCGATTCCGGCGCTGGCCAGAGAGTCCTGCCCACGGGTGTCGACCCAGACGCTACCGACGATGGCTCTGCGAGGCCGTCGCGGTTGTCCACGGCCACAGGAGAAGACGTGCAGTTGACGACGGGCAAGAGGTCGCAGTACCAGGCCAGTGGTGGCAGGCCGATCGCACTGACGCACAACGAGAGCGATCAGGTGAAAGTTCCGGTTGTGGCTGCTTCTGAGGCAACAGAGGCCGGCAATTGGATTGTCTCCGGCCCTGGAGTGCAACGAGTTGTGGCTCCGGCAGACGCGCGTGAGTTGCAGGAAGCAGCTCTGGCTGCCAGGGGTGTAGATCTGGTCAAGGACAGGGGTGTCTATTGGTTAGATCTCTTCGAAGACGACGGGCGGCAGCAGGCCAGACCTCTGCGCCCTGCAAGGCCAGCAAAGAAGGTCTACGCGCCGCCTGGCGGTGCGACAGAGTCGCCCGAACCGCAGAGCGCGCCACCGGGAACGCGCCAGGAGGGCGGCAGCAGCAGCAGCGCCGGGCCAGCAGTTGCACCCGGAGCGGCGCATGCGGCTCCTGAGGCCGCCGGCCCGCACCCGCAGCCAGGGGTTGTGGGCGCGCGGTCGCCTATGCTGATGGTGGAGTGGGAGGAGGCCAGGAGGCCGCGAGCCAAGGCCATCCACCTACGGTCAGCAAGGCCGAATGGGACCTGCATCAGCTGGCGCGCCTGCCGTTCAGGAGCTGGTGCGAGGCATGTGCGACTGGCAAGGCTGCAGAGGGCCCTCACTGGCGGAAGCGACCAGATGAGCAGCAGCAGGGTTTGCCCAAGTTGAGCCTCGACTACCTGTTCATCTCCAAGAGGGAGGAATACCATCTCCTGTATGCGGTGCTGAGTCTCTTGGACGAGCGATCCGGAGCACCATTCCCTAACATGGTGCAGAGGAAGGGCGACGACGACTTTGCTGTGAGTTGCATCCATGAGATGGTGCGCTTCTGTGGCCGGAGTGATTTCATCGTCAGGAACGACGGTGAGAACCCCATCCACGCGTTGGTGGCCAAGTTCGTAGAGACGAAGCAGAAGGGCATCACTGTCCTCCGGAAGAACACGCCGAAAGGTTCGTCCCAGTTAGCCGGAAGTATCGAACGTTCTAACTACGAGGTAGAGACAGAGCATCGGGCCTTGAAGGCTCGATTGGAGAAGGTGTACCAGAGAACGTTCGAGATGTCTCACAAGATGCAGCCATGGCTGGTGAGGCACGCAGGGTGGTTGCTCACACGTTTCCATGTCCAGGAAGACGGGAAGACACCATATGAGCGGCTCAAACAGAAGCCGTACAATGTTGAATTATGGGAGTTTGCTGAATGTGTACGTCACAAGCATCCGGTGGACGCTGTGGGCAAGGCTGACGATAGGTGGTCGCTCGGCGCGTGGCTTGGCAAGTCGCTGAGGGCAGACGACCTCTTGGCAGGCGCCGAGAGGGGCGTGACCACGCGCCGGAGCATCTGGCGGAGGCCAGAGGCGCAGCGGCGGCAGACATCGCTGCTAGACCGGTTCGTCGGGGGCCCCTGGCAGCCCGCGCCGCCAGGCGTCAAGGAGGTCAAGCCCAAAGATGCGTGCATCACCATGGAGCGCATCACAAAATTCAAAGCCACGGAAGGATGTCCTGGGTGCACAGCCCCAGGGGAGGTGCGCCACGCAGCTGCGCGTCGAGAGCGGTTTGCCCGCCCTGTGGCGGAAGAGAAGGAGAGACAGCAGGAGGCTCGAGAAGACAAGGCCCTGCGCCTCGAAGAGCCCCCCCCCGTGCAACCAGAGGCGCGCAACTTGCCGGCAGCTGCCGGCAGCGCGCCCGCGGCCCGAGAGGCAGCGAGCGCGGCGGTCACAGGAAACGCTGTGACCCGCCACGGGGCCAGTTCGGCTGCTAACCCTGCGCGCGCGGCCCGCGAGGCCGCGAGCGCGGCGGCTTGTCAAAGACCAGAGGACGTGGAGATGCCGGAGGCACCGCGTCCGAGGGAGGCAGCCGATGAAGATGTGGAGGGGGGCCGACCCGTAGAAGGCGAGCCTGTGAACAAGCAGGCGCGAGTGGCTGCCCTGGCCACGCTCCGCGAGCCGGACGCGGTGACAGTGCCAGTCGGCATGGAAATGGCTTTCCTGCTAGCGGCCCCCGGGGCCGCAGAGCCAGCGCTGCAGGAGCTACCTGTGCACGTGGATATGAGCAAGGAGTCGCATTCCACGAAGGATGGTGTCCGGCTCGATCCAGAGAAGGCGTTGCAGGGCAAGCTAAAAGAGCTATCCCAGATCGACAACTTCGGCGTGAAGGACGACATCCCCTGGGAGGAAGCCCGCCGGCAGGGTCTACACGCAGTGAACTCGAAGTGGGTTCTTGAGCCCAAACCCACGCCTGATGACCCCAAGGCTGTCAGAGCCCAGCTGGTAGCACGCGAAGTGAATACGTACTCAAGGGAAGACGTAACACAGAGCGCACGTCCTATCAAGGTCTTCCGGGTCATCGTGTCTGCGGCTGCTGCCAAGCAGCGGTCAGATGGATCTTGGAGCCGTCTGATTGCAGGCTACGATATCAGTGTGGCTTTCTTCCATGCTGATTCAGACGGTCGGACCGCAGTTGCGCCGCCCCCGGATGTTCGGAAGCCCGGGGTCGTTTGGTTTCTGAAGAAAGCCATGTGCGGCACCCGGCCGGCATCCAGAGCTTTCGGCAGCTATGTCATTGACAAGTTCAAGGATGAGAGCTTTGACTTGGTGGCAGTGGTGCCGATGACGTTCGTGAGCGCAGAGTTGGATGTATCGTTAGGCTGCCGCGGAGACGATTTTCTCGCAGTGGGTGGAGAGGTCTGTTGATGTTCTGGATGACATCATGAAGAGGCACTTCGAAGTGGCAATCTTGCCTCGTGTAGGGCCCCCGGAGCACGGCGGCCAGGCAGTGCAGCTCAGCCACCTGAAGCGCGTCATTCGGTGGACGCCCGAAGGTTTCACGTGGGAAGGTAACATCCAACGCATCCGCGACCTAGTGGGCCTGCTGGGCCTAGTTCCCGGCGCGAGCAAGGGCACAGACACGCCCGGGTCGAAGGACACAGCGAAGAACCGCAGGGATGCCTTGAATCCGCTCGGCAAGGAGGACGCGAACCTATTCCGGAGCGCGGCAGGCACCCTGCACTACCTCGCAGAGGACGCCCCGACGGTGAAATTCACGAGTTCGCAGGTCATGGAGGGGATGACAAACCCCACTGTCACCCACCAGCTGCGCTTGCACAGGGCGGCCCGGCATCTGCTAGCTCACCCCGGCGAGATCTGGGAGTGCAGGCACCAGAAGGATCCGCATCTTTTGACTGAGTATGTGGACTCAGATTGGGCAGCAGATTCAGAGACGCGTAAGAGTGAAAGTTGTGCGTGTGAGACGTACGGTAGTCGCCTGTTAGACGCGTCTGCGAGTAAGCAGCAGATGATGGCACTCAGCAGTGGAGAGGCAGAATTCCATTCCATCATCAAAGGCACAGCGACGGGGATCCAAACAAAACAGATGCTAGAGGCCGTGCTTCGCCACCCAGTCTCTCTGGAGATCCTGAGCGACAGCAGCGCGGCCCGGGGCATCTGTCAGAGACAGGGGGGCGGCCGCGTCCGCCACCTGTCTGCAAGGGACCTGCGCGCCCAAGAATTCTTCCGCGCAGGGCAGGGGGGATTGAAGAAGGTAGGTGCTGAGTACAACTGGGCGGATCTTGGGACTAGGATCCACCCCGGGGCACGTCTCGAGGAGCTGATCGAGATGATGCCGTTGAGGGGGGGAGAGGGCTCGAGCTTAGAGAGGCCCAGGGAAGCATCTGTAGCAGTATTTTTCCTTCTGGCATCTTTGGCTACGCAGTCTGCCGCGGCCAGTGGGCCGCGCGAGAGTTAGACAGCAGCGGTCCGCTCTGAGTCCGCGCTGTGGAGTGCCCTGCGCGGGCTGCACACGAGATGTGCAACTGTAGTCTGCCGCGAGTGGCGGGTGGGCAGCGCGCCGGAGAGCGCGCCCAAACAGCGCGCCTGTGAGCACGCACTCGGCGACGGGAGTCTGGAAGGGAGCGCGCCCGAGAGCAAGTCCCAAGAGCGCGCCGGCGAGCGCGCCTGGATGAACGGACCCTGGAGGGAGAGTGCCGGAGAGTACGCCGCAGCAGCGCGCCTAAGAGCACGCACTGTGGAGGACGGCGCTTGGAGAGGGTCATGGGGCAGATTCCGGAAACAAGCGGTGCACGAGTGCATCATAGCAGTAGTGATTACTAGTACTAGTAATACATATTAGGTACCAATGCACGTGCTATAGTACGAAAGTACATGATATCATGCATGATTGTCGCTCGAATGCTTTCGTTCGATGCTGTGCGGATAGGTTAACCGAGTTTCACACTGACACTGCGTGGACATGCGTGCCCGCACCTTTGTGAGAGGGAGACAGCTGAGGAGTACACCAGAAGCACCTTGGTTCGGAGAAGTCACGAGTGCAGAGAGCTTCAAAGAGGCGCGGCGGAAAGGCACTGCACAGGCTAAGTCCTGTTGGTGTGGAGGAGTGTTGACCCCACATGCCTATTTGAAGTAACTGTGAGTGCATGTTGCCGTGTAGTGTGGCACAGCCGTAGCGGTGACCGGTTGTTCGGTTGTCGTATAGTGCGGCACAGCCGTAGCGGTGACCGGTTGTTCGCATGAGGCAGCATGCACGTTTGAAGGCATCAGTGTAGCAGCGAGTTGATGCAGCAATGTAAGAGTCGTTTGCGCACTCCGTCAGACACCCAGCTTCGAAAACGAGCGGTTCGATGGGAGACTCATTATTGATGCGGGCTGCGCGGCTTCACCTGTAATAGCGTTGTCTGGTGGGTGTTCGATTGCTCCGGGACGACGTGGTAAAACTTGGCCTGCTATAGCGTGCGCGCCCGCCCCAGCACCGCTGCAAGGACGAGGCCTGTTGTCCAGACTCTAATTTGGCATCATGATCATTACGGTGGTCCCCATGTATTTCCCGACTCAGCCGGCGGAGGTTTCGGGAATGGCGACGTACGAGACTACCGTCGCCAAGATGTCCCAGTCGTTCGTCGACAAGCTTGCTCGTCTGCAAGCGCGTACCAAGCCCGTGATTGGGGCGGACCTGAACGATTGTGTTGGACTGGCGCAGTGTGACGGCCAATGGCCATGTGGCCATCTTGATGTCGTTCCTTATGAAGCTGCAGCCATGAGTCACAATGCTGGGAGTGGGCTTGCACATATTTTATCTTCGCAGGGTCTGCAAATAGCAAACGCATGTCGTGGCTTTCCATCAAGTTGCTTTCGACCTTGCACAGCCGAAAGCTCGGCTTCCGTCTCTTGGTTTAGATGGAGTTGAGAACTTCAGCTTTTTCGCGCATAGCAGGTCGCCGATCACGCGTTGGTTCCTGGTGTTTTTCCTTGCGCTCTTTCGTCGTGCCCCGCACGCGCGCTTGCGTGATGGAATTTGGGCTTGCTCATGTGCGGCCGGGGGGGGGGGGGGGCGGGCGCCGTCGGGAGTTCGGTCGTGCTGCGGGGTCTAAACTTGAACACGACACGGATCGGACTCCCGTTGTACAGGCGTTCCTTTTTGCTGCCTTCTGTTCGACAGCATGAGTCGCGTTTTAACGGAAGAGGGTGCCTCGTTTTATTCCGACTTTGCTGCGCATCGTGACTTGCGCAGGCCGCAGGCAGAGGGGCGGGCGCGTTTGCTGGACAGGCGAGCCCCGAATGTTTCTTGCTGGCTGGCTCTTACATTGTGGCTGAGGAAAAGAGGCGATGAAGAAGGAACTGAAGGAGGCGATGACAGACTGTCACCGACATCGTGCTCGGGAGCTGCATATCATCCAGAGCGAGTTAGTAGACGAGGCGGGGGCGATGTGGAGGTGCGGGGGGATGGCGGAGGCGATTCGAATACTATGACGAGCGGTTTGTTTTGGATTCGGCCCAAACAAATGCGATGATGAGGCCCTCGGGGGACTGGCGGGGTCTGGCGAGGACCTGCTGGAGCAGGACCCGCGGGAGGCGTCTGCTGGAATGTGTTTGGGTTTGGGCAGCTATCGGGGGCCCCCCATTGAGGGCGTCTGGAGTTGCAGCGTATCGAGGACAGGGTGCTGGAGTCTAGTGATATGGACTGTGAGTTGTGAGCATCAGAGTCCTCTGAAGTAGTAGCAGGTGGCTCGGCCAGAATCCGCGCTTGCTTCAAGCGCCTGTCAGGTGAGATCGTAGCCGGGGTGTTTCTTTTTTGCAAAAGGATGATCGGTTCCAGCGGGTTCTGCGCGTTGAATTCAATTGGGGAACAGCGTTCGCGCAGCTCATGGGAATTCGAAGCCCAGGGCGATGCTGGAACCGGGATCATGGCTGTCACGGGCGGGAGGAGGCTATTACATTTCGCAGCATGACATCATATGAACTGAGTTGCTATTTTGGCGCATCACATATATCTGAGGTCCGCGATCTCGCGAATGTGCTTGTTCCTGGCGCTGTGCCATCCATGATGGAGGCGATGCCAGGCGTGTTCGACTCGGAGTTGGAAGATTTTGATGCTTGGAGGGTCCGCTGGGCGACGCTTGCCTTGGCCAGCCACGATGCTGACGTTATCATTCGGCCTTGGCGCGGCGGCTGCATGGCTGACGCGCAGGCAGCGCGATCGGTCGCGAATGCCTTTGCGCCTACTACTGACGAATGGCAGGCCGAGCGACCTGAGTGGGATCCAAAAAGTCACGCTTGAGGCGCCAGACGTTGTTGAAGAGACGCGCCGGTTATTAGACTGAGAAGCGGGCCGGGGGGTTGAACTACATCGTTGTCGGAGCTTTCCGATTTTTGTAAGATCACGAGTCGGGATCTTAAGCAAAACGCACTTGCGCAGGACGCGCATGTGCGGGCCCGAGTGGGCATTCTAGGCGGCATGGTGCGAGGCGGGCTTTCTGGTCGCTATCTGATGTTCCAGATCGCTTTCGCCGGGCCATGTTCACTGACGAGATTTAGACTTCAACATTCTCTGGGAGTGAAGCGCGCGTTCACACGAGTCGAGAGATGGGCCGCTGTCGTTTGTTTTCTGCCTTTGCGCGCGACGGGCCGCGCACGGACAAGCGCGTGATCTCGGCGTTGCAGACCGTCCGCGAAGCATGACTCACGCCGCGGCGAAACGGCGGTGGAGCCTTGCTCCTCTAGAGTCGGAAGCACGGGCGCGCGGGCTCTGCTGGCTTCGAGGACCAGTGCGATTTCAATGCGCCCGTCGTCAGTGTCTTGCCGCCATCATTGGAGACCTGCCGCTTGAAGGCTACTTTCAAAATTGCTGGTGGCCCGGGCCCAGATGCTAACCCATGGGTCGCGATGTCCTCGGATGAGCTGGGGGGCGCCAGCGAACGTCGAGGCGGGGGCCATCATCTCGCGGGAGGAGTGCGACGAACGCTGGGAGGTTGCGTTTCCCGAAGGGTGCTGCAGAGACTCATTCTTGAATATTGAAACTCGTGAGTTGCGCGGCGGGGCTTGCCCTGAATGCGTTTGCCCCGCCTTCCCGCGACCGCTGGCCTACGCGCTTCGGCGCAGGGCGTGGAGATATCGAGCTCGGCCGGGGTGGGGGCCCGTTCGTTTGCATGTTATCTGGCGTGGGAGGTGAGCCTTGTCGGTGATTTCTCCTGTTCAAATCGCGGGCGCGCTTGTGGCGTCGCGCCCCTTGGCCGCGATTAGTCGACGCCCTGCCCGCGGGGGGCGGGCGTCAAGTCAGCGGAGCGTCGCGCAATCAATTCGTCGCGGGCGCTGCGTTCCAGGGGTGTCTTGCGGCGGCATTCCCTGTCGTTCCTGCCATCAGATTTTGCCGCGTGCGCGACTTTGAATGCGCGGGGTTCCCTGGGCGCCACTCGCCTCTGCTTGCGCGCGCGCCCGGTTCCGCTCGCGGCCCCGCCAGCCCCTGCCGCGAGCGCGTCGTCGGCCCTCTCGGAGAGGGGGGTCTCAGCCGGCACGGGCGCTGGGAAAGGGGGTCAGAAAAGGAAGCGGAAGGTGGGGGGCAAGGCAAGGCGGCGAAAGGTCGCGGACGAGGCGCCTCGAGGGCCATGGGAGGAAGCGCGTCGGTTGCCCCGGTGCGCTGGCCGAGTCAAGCGACATCCGCGACGCGCGCGGAACCGTCGCCATCGCTTGCCTCCCGGCCGTCGACGGGGCCATTCTTCCACGCGTCCCAGCGGCAATGCTGCGGGCGACGGGCCGGGGCCCGAACTTCCCCGAGTCGTCGAAGCCAGCGTTCCAGGTGCTGCCGTTGCGGGGCCTTGGCGAGCGCATTCGCCGCTGCCGCGCGCGCCCGACGCGCGCAGTCGGGGGGGCGGGGGAGGGCGGCTGGGGGTTGCGTTCCGCGCAGGCAGTCGGTTCCCCGACCTCGAGCGCGCGACCGCGGCCCGTTTCGCTGGCGGAGAGGCCTCGACGGGGCGCGCTGGAGACGGGGGCCGCGAAATTTATGTTCGAGAGGTTCGACGAGCAGCAAGTCGCGATCTGGATCGGCGCCCCCGGCCCTACGCGGGAAGTGGGCGGCGGTGTCACGTCGAGGAAAGATGGGATCAGATATTCGATGCTGTTCTGAGAGGCGCAGTCGCTGCTGCTTCCAGCAGCGCCCCCCCCCCGCCCCCCCCCCGGCCTTCTCGGGCGAGTCTCGCCCCGAGTGTTCTCTTGTCAGGGGCCCCGGGCGATGATTCAGCGCAGTTTGTCCCTGCTCCCCGAAAGGCCCCCGATCGACGAGCCTGGGAGCGACCGCGCCAGGTTGCCAGAGTTCGGTCTGCTCGGGGCAACTTGGTCTAGAGCGGTTGCGACAGTTTGAATGGCGTTGCCCCGCCCGCGGAGTCAGGCGGCAAGCGGCGGTCAGCGCTGCACATTGTTCCAGAGGGGTCCTCAGGTGCCCCGGAGTTTTTGCTGTTTCTGTCCCTCCTCAAGCTCTCCCCCCTCCCGTCGTTCTTCGGGGGCGCGCGAGGGGGCCGCTGGGGCGCGCCGACTGCCGCGCGGAAGCCCGGCTGCCTGCGCCCGCCCAATGGACGAGCTCTGACATCGCGTTGATCGCGCGGGCGGTCCGCCGCGCGCGGCGCGGCGCGGCCGCCCAGGCCGCGGGGCGGCAGCAAGGCTTCGTCGACGGCTGGCAGCTCTTGAAAGATAGTCACATTCGACGCACTCTGCAGGCAGCTGAGCATTATCGAGGACGCCGTTGCAGCCATGCCGCGCTTGGAGAGCATGCGCACAGCTGCCGCGCCCCTGTGCCCCCTGCGCCCGCAGCCATGGGAGGTCTGCGACAGTTGGGGCATTTGCAAGCATGCGCTTTCAATTCTAGACGCCTGTGACAAAATGACAGCCGGGCCGGGCGTCGCTCGAGGCTGCCCCCTCAGCGGCAGTATCTGCGCGCTCATCGTCGAACCATTCACTCGCGGCATCACTCTCGAGACCGACCATGTCAGGCGCGGGCCCATCGGCGCCTGCGCGGACGACCTGGGCGCCATCTTTATTGCTTTTCGCGATGCTTAATGACAGGGCTTGCGCAGTAGCCCGCGAACCCAGATGGCAGGGCATCCTCGCGCCAGGCCGCGCCGCGCCATTGCGCGCGCCTGCGGGCGCTGACGCCCGCGCGCGCGAGCGGGCGCCCCCGTGCCCGCGGCCTCCCGCGCGGGCGCGCGGGCGCGCTCGCGGGCGCGAGCGCTGGCGGGCAGCTGCTGGCGCGCGAGCGGCCAGGGGGCTCATGGGAGATGCTCGAACAGATGTTTGACAGCGCGCCTGGGAAGCTTGCAAAGCGTCGCGGGGCGCCGAATGAAAGCCTTGCAATGGCGCCCGGGCAGCAGGCCGGGGGCGCTGCCTAGGCAGCCCGCGAAAGCTTGCGGAGGCTCCCAGGAGCTCCCCGCGAGACTGACACGCGCCGCCCTGGAGCTGCCCGGAAGTTCTCCAGCGAGCCCGGGAAGCGCCGCACAAGGCTTGCGGCGCACATGTCGCGAACGAGTGAGAAACGCTTCCCGGGGAATGCTACAGGACTGGCAGCTTGCCGCGGGGGCCGCGGGCCGGCGAGCGCGCGGACGGGATCCGCGCCATTGTTGGCCAGGCTCTTCCTTGAAGCCCTTCTGCTGCAAGCAGCTATCCGCGAATGATCCCCGCGCCTTCGCGCAGCGCAAGTTTTTGCTGGTCTCCGCGCGCAGACCAAGGCGCGCGTCAGAGCTTCGACGCGGGCGCTGCCGACGCCGCAGCCCTTCGCTGAGTTCCAGGGCGCCCTCGGCCACAATCACGAGCCACAGACATATTCCAAAATGGCGTGCTCCGCGCGGCACCGGAGGGCACGCGGTGGACCTGCGGCTTCATTCGCCATGCATTATGGCGTTGACCTGCGAGCAAATGTTGGGATCTCGTTCAGATCTCGGGCGCCGCCAGGACCCCGCTCGGGCTCAGCGGATGCATTGAGCAATGCGGCGTCGCTCCCCTCGCGCACCTTCCGATCGCCAGTTGCTTGCCTTCCGTCGCCCGGTTGTCTCGCCGAGGAGTTACGCGCGCTGCGCGAGCTTCTCCTTGCAGCCGAGCTTCGCCAAGATGGGCATTTTCCCCGTCGCGCTCTGGGCCGGAGCTGAAACGCCGCGGGGCCCGAGACCTCTCAGACGGCCACCGCGTGGCGGGCGGCCGCGGAGGCCCCGGCGCGCCGGCGAACTTCCTGTTCGACGGCTTTGCGCTGCAGCGGAAGCCGCCTTTTCAGTCATTCAATACATTTGCGGGCGCTGGCGCGCCGAGCGCAAGCAAGGCAAGGTCTCGATAACACAGCGCTTCGAACAGATCCCCGCAAAGCAGCTCTGCACGGCGCGCGAGGGATGCGCCTGCAAAGACCCTGCAGCGCTCGCTGGGGGGCGTTACCTGGGCTGAACAAGCATGTGTTTCTGTCTGCCGACTTGCCGCGGCCCGCGGGCAGCGAGCTCTGCTGCGCGTCGCCGAGGGGGCTCGGGCGCGACATTCTACGACGCCGCAGCAAGCTTGCCTCCTCAAATAATAACACCACTTGCGCCGCGATTTCTTCGACGGGACGGCCCTGGAAAGGCTCGGCGCGCAGCTCGCGGCGCGCGCCCTCGGGCCCAGAGCTCCATGGGCCGCCTGGGCCAGCGCGCGGCGCCCCAGGCTGCTGCGCGACCCCCTGACCTTTCCCTGGCGGGCATCTCGGTCGACGACCAGGAAGACCTGGCTAGCGCGGCGCGCCCCGTGCATATCGGCCACCCTGCATCGACGGCAGTCGGAAGTCATCTCTGGCCGCCGTTCCGGCCCTCGACGCGCCCCTCGGCAGACTGGCCGAGAGAGAGGCCGCAAGGCGCGGGGCCCATCGGGATGCGACCGTCGCCGCCGCGAGCGGTAGCATCTCAACCGCAGCCCTGCTTCCGGCGTTCCACGTCAACGAGGCCGCGAACCCGCCGATGAGGGCTGCAACGGGAGCGAGGGCGCGCAGGCTTGTTTCCTGTTCTCGGCCCCGACGCGGCGCCCCCGCCCGACGTGGTCGGCGCCCGCTCCTGGCCAATTGCGCCGACATGCCAGCGGCGCGTTGCGATGGCCCATCTCGCGCTGTAGCCGCCGTCCCGCGCGCGACCAGCTGGAGACCCTCGCCGGCAAATTGGCCGCCAGCTGCCGCGTGCGCATCAAACCCGCGCAGCTCAATTGTTTGTCCGGCTGCCCGAAGGGTCTGGCCACATCGGCGACGTCGCTCGCTGCCGCGTGCGCCCGTGGATGCGGCGCCATCTGCGCCTTCCTCGCGACGTCGCTTTGCGCCGGCGCCCCCCGCTCGTCCGGGCCCCCGCGAGAGGTCCAGGATGGCGACGGTGATTTTGCGTGCGCTATCCTGCTGATGGCTTTTGGTGTTTAGACCTGCAGCCAGTTGCGCGCCAAGCACGACCTGCCGCGCGTCGCCTGTCCTTCGATGCCCGCCGAGGTTCAGGGCGGACATTTGCGACATCAGCACGGGTGCCGTTGCCGCTGTCTGCCGCCTGATCAGACTGCCGAGCTGCCACGGCGGCGGCGAGGGGCCGCTCCGCCTCTTGAGCCTCTGGCAAACGTGCCCGCTGGGCGACGTTCGTTTCCTCTTTTGTTTTTGTTGTTCGCGTCGGGCCGTGTTCTGCGAAATTTCCGATTGGTTTTGTGCCGTGAAGGCCGCGGCAAGCTTGCAGCCGCTAGCGCCCGGCAACTCAGTCGTCCTTGTTGTCCGCACGCCGCAGCTAGAAAGCAGGCGCTGTCGCGCCTCGCGAGGGGGCCTCTCCCAGGAGCGGAGGCTGATTCCCTGTGACGCGAATCGGTCAAGAGCCTGGGCTTGACCTGATCTCTGCAGGTTGCCCAACCCACACACCCCTACACCCTCCCTCCCACCCTCCCCCAGGGCGCCTTAAAAAACGAAGCCCCCCTCGCTCGCCCAAGGGGTCGGGCACGGCGAGCTGTCCTGGGCATCCAGGGGTAGTTGCTTCCAACGCCTGGCTGGGGGCCCAAAGCCCCCTCCTCCCCTTTTTTTTCCTCCACCTCCTCCTCCTCCTCCTCCTCCTTTTCCTCCTCCTCCCCATCCTCGAGACCCGAGACTCGAGACTCGAGACTGCGGGCAAGTTGATCTAGGTGTCCCCTCCCTCCTCCATTCCCTTTCCTTATCAATAACTCCTCGTGGTCTCGCTCCGAGACCAGTCGAAAAGGCGGGCAGCGCGTTTCGGTTGAGATTTCCCCCACCACTTATGACCCTGACTTGAGCATTGAACAGCTTCGCAGACAGAGGGCGGCTCGCTTCCAACAGTCGGCTCTCATTGCAGCGCCGGGCACACTTGTCCAAACATGTACATGAGTTTCGAGGACTGTGGGCGGGCCATATTCAAAATATGGTTTTCTGGACACACATGCAAAAAAATCGCGGGGCCCCATGGTCAACGTACCAGAAATGCGTTTGAGAAACAATCAGGAATGTGAGGGTGCAACAGTTACGTTTTTCTTTGTGTTGAAGTCCCTGAAATGGTTCTCTTGCACGATGCAGGACCGCTAAGACGCAACAGTTAGGTTGATCCGTGGCGTTGGAGCCCCGAAAATGGTTTCGTGGCGCACGTACGAGGGCCTTCAAGCGTATGTCTCCCAACGGGGCAGTTCCCTCAGTGGAGATGAACCCTGAGTAGGGGCCTGTGAAGAGGGAGTTTGGAAGGACGGCTTATTACAACATCGTTGATGAGTATTGGGATCTTGGGTTCGCAGTAGTCCTCCTCCTCCTCCTCCTCCTCCTCCTCCTCCTTGTCGTCCCCCTCCCCCCTGATATCCGACGTCGTGATGATTCCACAAGCGCGGGCCCCAGAAATTCTGCATCCCGCGTCGCAAGTTGACAGAATTGGCCCTCGGAGGCTGAAATCGGCCAACAAAACGGCACAATTTGTTCGCGACGAGAGGAGGCCTGAGTGTGTCGTCGTTCTTCCACAGGTCCGTACCGTGGACCCTTCTTAGCGTGCGTGTCTGACGGACGGTGCTCGCAGGGGCTGTGCGGCGCTCGTCGTGAGCCACTGGCCGCCACAGACGGCTTGGCGACTCGAGTGCTTCCTCCATGATCGGGAGTTCGGCCGGTCATCAGCAGCAGCGGAAAACGCCCACGGGCACGACCTCAAGAGCGACCCCGATCCCCCCTGCGTCGCCCGCTCTCCCCAGAGGTCTGGCCGGGTGTACGAGGTGGCCATCGGGCCCCGCCGTTGGGCGCGCGGGGCCGGCGGCGGCTCGCTTTTCGCTCCGCCACCCGCCGGTGGCCGCCCCTTTCCGCGCGGGCGGAAGACGAGCGAAGGACGGCGCAGGCCGCCGACGACGACGACGACGACGACGACGACGACGGCGACGACGACGACGACGACGAGCCTACGCTTCCTCGCGTGGCAACGGGCGGTTTTCTGCTCCCAGTGGGCCCTGATGACTGGGCCCCCTGGGCCATCGGGATGCGGGATGATGGGAAGCCAGTCCTCGGGCAGGCGTCGAGACCTCCGGGGGCCCACGCTGCGAGGAGAGCGCGGCGCTGGAGGTCTGGGAGGGGGGGTGGCAGTCGTCGAGGTGTGGGCCCTTTTAGCCTCGAAGGCCTCTGGAGGTTGCTGGGGGCATCTGGGCACTTCTGGTGCGCCCCCTGCTTGGCCTCCAGGGGTCGTGCGGGGATCGGAGAGTATGCCTCGAAGGCGCGCGGGGCAGTTTGCTAGGCATGCCTCCACGCTGCAGCCCTCGAACACTTTCGGGGCCCGCCTGGGGCCCACTGTGAGGCCCCGGGAGAGCTCCAGCCGGAGAGCGCGCGCGCGCAGGAGGGGGGGGGAAGGGAAGGAGGGCAGGAGGAGGTTCGCTTCGGTTCGGCGCTCCAAGAAAGTGCTCAGCAAGTGAACAGCAGCGGGGAGGGGGCGCAGCATTCCATGGACGCGGCAGCCCTAAAACGCCCTCACAGCAGGTTCAGCCTCACCTCAGGAACACGAAACCAAGGGGAATGCCAAAACAAAACACGAGGGAAAGATGCGAGGCTACAGAGGCCGCCAGGAGAAACGATGAACGTTCGCAAGACACATGAGGCTCTAGAGGCCCTCGCAACAATCTGTAGACGTTCGCCCTCGGCGCCATCCCGGCGCCATCAGGGGGGTGAACCACGGCGGGATTGGGATCCCCAGGGGAAAGGGAAGACCGCAGAGCAGGAGGAGGAGGAGGAGGAGGAGGAGGAGAAGGAGTCAGGACAGAAGGATGAGACGGAGGAAGGGGGAGGAGGAAGAGGAGGAGCGGGGAGGAGGAGGAGGAGCGAGGAGGAGGAGGAGGAGGACGAGGAGGAGGAGGAGGAGCGAGGAGGAGGAGGAGGAGGAGGAGGAGGCGGAGGAGGAGGAGGGAGGGCAGGAGGAGTGGAGGCAGAGGCAGAGGGGAGGAGCCCAGGCCAACCACGGCCTACCCCCAGCCCCTGGGGGGCGACGCGCCCGGCGCCCTGACAGAAAGGGGCTCCACCTCCGGCGCCAGCCCCGGGGGATGGTCGCCCACACTCCGCCCAGCTGGCGGCACAAACGAAATGGGTACAGAAAGAGTGGGTAGAATTCCCAATGCCGAGCATGGGCACGAGGCGGGTCGAAGGAAGACGCACCCTCGGGGCCCCAGGGTGAGCCTTCCGCACGCCTTCCCTGCAACCCTCGACATCCCCCGTTTACCATCGCCCCCCACTGCGTAACGCCCCCTTTCGGCACGAACGAAATGGGTACGGAAAGAGTGGGTGCAATGCCCAACAGCAGTTCCCGTTCATTTTGAACAGGACTCGCTGTCCGCGCCGCCGCGGCCCGTGTATATTCGGGACAGAAGGCCGCCTGCCCAACAGCGGCCGCTGTTGGTTTGGGACAACACTTGTTGTTGGGCATGGTACCCATGTTTTCCGTACCCGTTTCGGGCGTCCAAACATCTGGCGGCACCGACCGCCCCGCCTCCAACCGACGGGGGGTCCCCAGAAAGTTGGCCCCGAGTCCTCGACGGGGCCACCGCTGTCCAAGCAGGGGGGCTCCGATCAAGGTGCCGAAGAAGGGTGGCCTCCGCAAGGGCCGACCAGCTCACATCGTCGTCGAGCGAGGCATAGCGACGCGTCGCCGCGGGAACCGCAAGGCTACCTCCACGACGGGGAACAAGCTGAGCCTCTACGCGCAGAGCGCGACTCGGCACGCAGTGCATGGTCGCCGAGGCCACGCGAGGCTATCCGCGCAGCCGGCCTCATGCCGCGGCTTTCTTCCCGCGCGGGCGCGCGGCACGCGCGCCCAGGCAGCGGCTCGGCGAGGTTGCCCGGCGGGGTACGCCGTCCCGTGCAAGAGCTCTGCGCGCGCGGCCAGGCACTTGCCCAGCGAGGTTGCACAATGGGAAAAAGGCGATTGGTGCAGCTAGCCTTGTGGAAGTCGATCTATGGAGAGGAAGCATGCTGCCAAATAATTTCCAGATGCCTAAAAACATGGTTGAAACATTTTTAGAACATGCTTTACACATGTTAAACACATCTATAATTCAATGATCGGATTGTTAGAGTGTCCATTGTCATGGCATCCACAAAGCTAGCCTCAAGCTGCCAGGGCCCGCAGGCACGGTCAGGCGACGCTGAGGATGCCGTCCTCGGGCGAACGGCGGCAAGAGCCAGCCTCCCGCGCCCCGCCCTCGAGGCCGCCAAGGCCTTGTTGCAGCCTGCGCAGCTCGTCGTCCGAGCAGTCGGCCTGGACCTGAACAGCGTCACGCTCTGCCCTGAGCTCGTGCATGAGCTCCGTGATGTCGTGCCGCACATCGTCACGCTCATCGGCCAGCTTGTCCGCCAGCTTGTCGCCTTCCCGCCCACGCTCCGGCGGGCCGCCCTGCCGTCCATCGCCCGGGCCACGCCCACAGCCCCGCTCGGCCGCGCTCGTCGAGTCCGCCGCCAGCTGGCAGCGCTCTCCCGGCGGCCTCTCCTGCGGCCTCTCGGGGGTCGCGCCCGGCTGCCGTGCAGGGCCGCGCGGCCAGGGCGTGCACGACGCGCACCCCGCCACGGCGCCCGAGGCCTCCGCCTCGTCCTGCGCGGCCTGGAGCTGGTCGAGCTCCTCCTCGTCCTCGGAGCACTTGAAGGCGGGCTGCAGCGGCTCGACGGAGAGCGTTACCTGCGCCTCGACGTCGTCCACCTGCCTCGGCATACAGTCCACCTGCCTCGGCATACAGTCAACCCGCACAGGAGGGATGGGCAGCCTTCCAAAGGATACCCCTGCATCCTTGCCTCCTCGGTCCATCCTTGGCCGCTTTCGTTGACCGCGCCCCGCTCGCAAAGCTTCGAAATGGCCTTCCAAGGCCCTTGCATCCTTATCGTCGTGCGTCCTTATGATACGGGCCGACTGTACCAGTGCTGCCTCACGACGTGCTCCATCGTCGCCTCTTCCGCGGCCCACGAAGAGGGAGGGGGAGGAGGAGGAGGAGGAGGAGGAGGAGGAGGAGGAGGAGGAGGAGGAGGAGGAGGAGGAGAAGGAGTCGGAGGAGGAGGAGGCGGAGGAGGACGAGGACGAGGACGAGGACGAGGAGGAGGAGGAGGAGGAGGAGGAGGAGGAGGGCGACGGGGCACGAGGTGGGGAGGAGGGAGAGGCAGGAGGAGGTAGACGCGGGGGGTGGAGGAGGAGGAGGAGGAGGAGGAGGAGGAGGAGGAGGAGGAGGAGGAGGAAGAAGACGAGGCAGAAGGAAGTGGTAGGGGGTAGGAGGGTAGAGGGAAAGGCAGAGAGCACGAGGAGGAGGAGGGGCGAGAAGCCCCCCCTTGCGCCCCCACCCCAGGTGGTGCCCGCGCGTCTCCCCGTCTGGTCAGCACCGCCGCGCCCCTACTGATGCCCGGGCCGCTGGTCGACGGCCTCCGCGATCGGTCGTGCGCCTGCCGCCTCGTGACGCGACGAGCTCCGCGCCATCGAGCGCGGCGTGGCTTGGCGTGGCGTGGCGTGGCGTGTGCTGGCGTGGCGTGTTGCACGAATCGGGCCCCGGCCCAGCGAGCAGATCGCCGTGGTCGGCTCGGACAACGGATCGCCGAGCTGTCCTTTGCTTGCCACTGTGACGATGTACGTATACGCACATTCTGTGTGTGTGTGTGTTCACACACACACACCTATAATGTACATTAGTATGTAACTTTTTTGCAATGTGTGTGTGCTTGTAACACCCACCGTCAAATGACACCGGATCCCGCACCTTACGAGGGGAGTCCCCCTGGTTCTGTTCTACGGCGCCGAATGTTCGCCCCCCTCCCCCCGCGTTTCAAACGCGCCGCCGAACGTTCCCAAGGCAAGCGCCCGTGAAACGCGTTCCATCCAGATTCGGTGCGTGAGCACATATACATCGCAGAATGGGAGAGGGATTGACGAGGAGGGGGAGAAGGAGGAGGAGGAGAAGGAGGAGGAGGAGGCGCAGGAGATGAGGCGGAGGAGGGGGAGGCGGAGCAAGGGGAGGCGGAAGCGGCCGTGGAGCAAGAGGCGGACATGATGTGGCGGCGGCGGTGGAGCAGGCGGAGTCCGGGCGGGGACGGGCCCCCCACGGGGCAGCCCCTCCAGGGCTTGAGCATGGAGGGCTCCGCCCGTCTGTTGGCTGGCCCTGCACCTGCCCGTCTGGGCACGGAGGTGGCGCCTGGAGCAGGCGGAGATCGAGGACTGAGGAGGATCGAGGATCGAGGATATACAGGAGGAGGAGGAGGAGGAGGAGGAGGTGGAGGAGGAGGAGGAGGTGGAGGTGGAGGTGGAGGAGGAGGAGGAGGAGGAGGAGGAGGAGGAGGAGGGGGGATGAGGAGCAGGCGGAGGAGGTGGAGGAGGACGGGTGGCCGAGGCCCGGGCCCTGGCGGTGCGCAGCCTGTGCGCCACGCCGGCGGCGGGCGCGTCCTCTACGCAGAGCTCGCGGACCAGCGGCTGCACCACGCCCGCGGCAGGCGCTGCGGGAAGCTCCCCAAGATCAAGCAGTGGCGAAGCGTCCTGTCTCGCCTATAGCCCTGCCAAGCAATGTTCGAATATCCTTTTGTGGTTTACACGACATTGGCTTGGAACATGGCTGGCGGAGTCTGTCTTGTTTTATCACATCGGGTTTATGTTCTAAGAACATTGCTGTTGTTCTTAGAGCATTTTTGGGTTCTAAGAACATTTCGTGGTAGGACTATAGGCATGCCAGGACGGTCGGTCCCTGCTCAACAAGAGACCCCCCCCCCTCGTCGCGGAGAGGTCTGGGGCGGACGACAAACAGGGGGTGCAGTACACGTGGGGGACCCGAAGATTGCGGGCAGGTGGCCCGCAATGGCCCTCAGTGGCCTCCAAATGGACACCGCGGGCCCAAAACGTGTACGAAGGAACTCCGTTCCTTCACCTCCTTTGACCCCCCTTTCCCTGAACAATCGGCGGCGAGCGAGGGGGGAAATGAGAAGGAGAAGGCTTTCTCAGATGGCGGCGGGACTTCTCAGAAACCCCCGCGCCTTCTGAGAATTGCTTTGCTTTGGGGGAAGGCCCCGAAGACTTTTCAGGAGACTTGGGGGGAGGGGTCCAAGCCTTCTGAGAAGGCCTTCTCCTCCCCACTTCCACCCCCCCTCGCCCGCGGCCGAAACCAGCACCCGAAGGCTCTGAGGACCGAGGCAGCCGAGGCCTCGAGACCCGGAGTGTCGAGGCACGAGGGCGAGAGGCTCTCTTGGCCCCCGCCGGCCTCCGTGGGCCTCGGGCGTCTCCCCCCCGCGCGGCCCCGCGCGCCCGAGACGCGGCGCCGCCCCCCCCCCGGCGGGCGCCCCCTCGGAGGCCCCCTCGGAGACCCCCTCCTCCCTCCTCCTCCTCACCTCCTCCTCCTCCTCCTCCTCCTCCTCCTTCATTGCCCTCCTCCTCCTCCTCCTCCTCCTCCTCCTCCTCCTCTCGTCGCGGAGGGGCCATTGAGGATCTCTCGCGGTTGGGCCGAGGGTCGCGGGCGGTGCTCTTTTGGGCGTCAGTGCTGCTCCCTCTTGGGGCCTCCGCGGGGCGTCTCCCCGCTCTCGGCGCTGCCCGCCTCCCCCCAGGCCAGCCTTTTTTGTCAGCAGAGGATGCCTGGGCGTGCTGCTCGGCTCGGGAGGGAGGCTGAGGGAGGGAGGGGGTGGGAGGATGACGATCAGGACGAGGAGGAGCAGGTGAGAGGAGGAGGAGGAGGAGGAGGAGGAGGAGGAGGAGGAGGAGGGGGAGGAGGAGGAGGAGGAGGAGGAGCAGG